GAATTTGTGTGGATATGCAAGAGATATAATAGTGTATAGAGAGATAAAAGTAGATAATTCAGTGCATAGACTAGTTAAAGAGGGTGAAGCAGAAGAGATTTGACAGTATAGTAGATGATAGAGAGTATTGAGTATGGAGACTACAATAGAGAATAATGAGATAGGAGTAGATTGGATAATATAGGGGATGGAATAGGAATCAGTTCGTATGATGATGGCTGAGGTAACCTGAAATTTTTTTATGTTCTGGTTTCCATGAAAAGGGATATCTTGTGATGTTCAGAGAACATCGTGAGAACCAAGGGAAATAAGGTGGGAATGGGGAAGACCACTGAGATAAGAAATCCGAGCAAACCTCTTTCGATCGACGAATCATGATTTACGTTTGATGTACAATCAATATTATGAGTTAAAGTTGAAGGGAATCGAATCAATATCGTTTTGAAATCAGTATATTTCATTCGATATTTCAAACAGCCAAATATGTTGGTGGAGTCGTGACGTATTAGTCCCAAACTCTAGTATCTCTCTCTGATACCTCGTCATTCTGCAGTGTTGCAGTGTGATTGGTCAGTTCAAGGACAATAGGCGTGTTGGGACTAAGACGTCGCACCAGTCTCACCAATGAATTGACAATATTTCAAATGGCGCAGGAATTGTGTGTTTTGAAATGGACATATTCTAATTTATTATTTTCATCGTCTTAGCATGAATGACAAATTTCAAAATTAATTCGCTGGCAGTTTTTCAGTATAGAGTTCACGATAATGTCATTTTAAAAAATCAGTTCTGGAGGTTATATGCTTCGGGGAGCACCTCCCTTGGCAATGTGTTCCAGAGCCTCGCTCTCGTTGAATGAACGAGTCTTTGGAGAGAGATGTTCTGCAGGTCTCCAAAGTGATCACGAAGGGGAGCGAAGCCTCAACTCAACGGGTTCACCCACGAGACGAATTGCGACAGAATCCAACAGATTCAGGGTATTATGTTTTGCTGCACTACAAATATGGGAACAGTATTCCAGGACAGGTCGGATCTGTGCCTTTATAGATCATAAGCAGAGAGAGTAGAGGTAAGAATGGTAAGATAGTGGATAAAGAAAGCATAGTGGTGAAAGTATACAGTAGAAAAAAGTGTTCGAAGGTTAAGAGAGTAGAGAACAATAATGTTAGCACTGCGGCCACTGCTACCACAGGTAGACAAATTTGGAATATTTCTTGAATATGAATTGAAAAAATACCGGTATTTTATCAATTCAAAACATCTATCGAATAACTGTAGGTAGATGCAATTTATATATTGGGTGATGAATTGAAAAAATACCGGTATTTTATCAATTCAAAACATCTATCGAATTACTGTAGATGCAATTTATATATTGGCTTTGTACTGCTAGCTTCAACATCACAAATGTAAGATCAAATCTGATTCCGCATTTTGAGAAAATCGTCATGGAGTGCAGGAAATTTCAATGGACGTGGCAACATCTACCACATGCGCTTGCGTGAGAAATGTGGGGTTTCGGATGTTCCGTACAATTTCATTCAGTCGATTTTTCGCTCCCCCAATCTGGGTGAATATTTGCCGATTTTGGTGGGTGCGCTGTTCATTTGCGTATACAGGGTGATCATTCTACCGGGCTTATTGAATTCGTGAAATTGGTGGGTGTACAACACTTCGACTTATTTGTCGACTCATTTCATTTCTTCTAGCTTTTATTCAGGTTTGATATATTATTACAAACAAAAAAATGCACAGCATGTTAGGCCTATTAAGATAGTTCACTGAGCAGTGAGTGGAAATAGTGAACCAGATATTTATGAGTATACCGGGTGTCCCAAAAGTTATCGTATACAGGCAATATCTCGCTTAATTGACAAGATAGTTGAAAAATTCAAAACGTTCATTGAATGACATTGAAGCAGTGGCGGCTCGTGACTTTCATGACACAGGAGGCTGAATGATATGAGCACTCTACGACTCACCCAAACCAATATTGCTTTATATAATGACATTCTGTTTACCAGTTAACCTGAACTTAATACTTGAATAAGAGATGTGTTCCTGTGATTTGCAGTGTCTATCCAATCCGCGAGGCAAATTTTTCAAATCATTATATCCTAATCGCCCCCAACATGATGACTTATCGGTTGAAAATAATACGCAGTACCAACAAAACAGCTTATTCCTTACCTCAGATCCCGTCAACCAGATATATATTTTTTAAAATTATCAGAATTGAACGAACGATTTTGTTTGTTACCTGTAACAAGCAGATTTTTTTTATTCCGGTGACGGACGTTTGTTTTTCACAATCAATTTATCTTCATAAGACAAAGCACTGAATGGGTTCACCAAAAAGTATTCCAATAAATCGCAATCGTTTAAAACACTCATTTTTCAGAAATTTATAGAGTCCCTAACCATTAACCTAACATAAACATAAACATAAACAATGCACTCGCGTTTGTCCGCAATTCGCGAAGCGACACGACAAACACGTGCTATTCGGGCATTTGCATTGCGCGCGTGGGTTGCGAGTTGTGACGGAGTCTAGCCTCCTATAGATGTTGCCAAGTTGAATATTTCACGCGTTATTTGCAGACTTCAACGTGTGATGCGTTGGCAAGCACTGTTGCCAATTCAAAAATATTTACCTAAAAACTGGAAATAAGATCAAAATCCATGTATTTTGGTGTCTTTTGAATGAGAAAGTATAGATAATATCAGTTTGAGGAGAATCTCTGAGGAGGCTCAGCCTCCGTTGCCTCCTCTGAGGAGCCGCCACTGCATTGAAGTACCTTCCTAATGACATAAAAAATCCATTACATTTGACAGTTCTCTAGCAGCCACATTTAATTTTATTAAATTAAATCGTGTCACTCAATTTGGTATTTTTTCATTAATAACAAAAATATCAACATTTTGTGACTTGTTTCAAGTTACTCAATTATCTTTATAAAAATGAAATAATACCTCTGCTCATGCGTTTTTCGTTTCAAGAAGCCGATGTCATAATAATTTTGAACACGTGCTGTGATTTTTATTTCATTTTTTGATTCGCATAAAAGCTATTGTAGTTGAAATTCATGAGGAAGGTACTTCAATGCCATTCAATGCAGTTTTTGAATTTTTCAATTATCTTGTCAAATAAGCAAGAAATTGCCTGTATACGATAACTTGGGACACCCGGTATTATGCATTTTTCAAGGACAGATATAACTCATTATTTTTAGTGAAATTACCGAGATTTTAGATTTTTCTTATAAAAGAATTCTGGAATTCAGTCATAAAACTCCGATTTTCAAAATTAATTTAGGATGTTGACGTTCCGAGTTATTACGTCTCATAATTTTAGTTGTCAATTTTTTATATTTTGTTTACCCCAAAGCTTTTCGTATACTGGACGGTTCCAGAAGGCATGGAAATACAATATTATGAATTTTCACGTAGGACAATAAAAAAATAAAATTTTCTTAAGTATTTAATATTTTAAATAATTCTCACATTCAACTAAAATATTAAATTCTTGAGAGAAACAAATGGAAAATGAACAATTCTTCTAGCATCTCAGCTTAGGTACCTTGTTCATCGCTCCGTTGAATTTCAATTAAGAATTAAAAACTATAAATACCAACATACATAATTATGTACAAGTGTAAAACTAATGATTGCGCCATTTGTTAATTACAAAGGAGATGATAATATTGAATGGGATTAATTCAGTGCCCAAAATGAAAACAACTGCATAACTTTTAACTTTCATTTAAAAACGCTTGTCCTACAATATCGAAAAAATGGTCCGTGTGATAAATAATATATACAGGGTGTGACAAAATAGGCCAATCCTCACAGTACAAAAGTCATCAACAAAAGATATTGAGAATCTGGTCTTTTCAAAAATAAATTTATGATCAATATAAGATAATATAAATATATTGATCAATGGTTTATGATGGATATATTCAAAATTCCTAATCCGTTGAACGTGGTAATGATTCCTGATTTTTTTTATGTAAAATTTGTATATTGCTACTTCCAAGCTGGGAACCAACTCCCCAGAAGTCGAAACTCATGTGGGTTAAGGAAGGGCGGGACCTACAGCTTATAGTGGAATTCGAACCACTTCTAGGGCGCCGAGTCAATTCGCTAATCAATTTTCAATTGCATTTGTCGATATTTCTCATAGCTAATTCAATAGCCACAAATAATGATCAGCCACTTGAAAGTCTGTAGAACAGGCTAATAACAGTCATCCCCTTATAATTTTATCATTTAGAAAGGTGAAAACAGCACTTGACATAATAACATATCCTTATTCGAGCGGTTTATCTACTCATCATCTTTCAACCGGCAACACTGCATGTTTTGACATGATGTCGTCACTGATAGAGATTCACCGATTTGAGAAAAAGGCTCATTTCAAGAGTGAAAGTTACACTACATACTTTTATTGTGTTCATTTTAAATCAATTTTGAAGTACTTAGCTCACGGCCGGGAATTTTCTGTAGACTTGGCTCTCACGGATTATTTGTTGCGCCCTGTCAATAGACACAATCTGATGTCATCAATGAACTATTGCTATTGGTTGAAACAAAGAAAACGCCACATTTTGACATATGAAAAAAATAATCTCGAGACATCTAATTCAGCATTGGTGGTGGCCTCTCAATGTGTTCAAACGGAATTATTTTTTAAGGAATTCATTTCAGGAAAACTAGTAAGTATAAAGCAATAAAAAAAACTCTTCGTGAAAAACGTCAAGGTATTTTTTCTAGAAATTAGTGTTCTCACCTATGATTTGTTTGCTATTCAGATTTCTCATTTGGTCACAAAAAACAGACCAACTTGTATTTTTTCAATATGCTGTTAAATTTCAGAATTAGAATTATGAATTGATATATTTTTTAAATCAAAAAAATTATATCAAGACATCTAATTCAGTATCGGTGGTGGTCTCTCGATGTGTTCAAACGGGATCTTTTCTTTACGAATCATTTTTGGGAAAACTAGTTATTATAAATAATTTTAAAAACTCTGACTTTTCTCATTGTGATTTTTCATTTGATCACAAAATACAAGACCAACTTATGTTGAAAAATGTAAGAGCTTGACTTATGATTTCATATATTTTCGAATTTATGAAAATATGAAAACTAATAGGGTGATCCACTTGAATAATCAAACTTGATTTCCATTTTGGAGTACAGAAAGATCCTGTGCTTGCATCAAAAAAACATTTCAAAATCAAAATTGGAGTGGTCTCAAAGTACTTTTGCTTCTTCAATTTTTTTTTCGATAATTATAAAACCTGACTATATTGAGAAGCAGACCCTCTTTCTAAACAGCCCATTCTTGTTGCACTCTGTATTATTCTTCAAAAAATAGTTCTAAAGTAATATGATGACATGTGGAAGATTCGCAAAATTCTTCCGGAACCTTATGAAACACTGGACGCATTTTGAAAAGAAAGTTAATAAACTGGTATATTCAATCACACTTCAACATCTTCACACGCTCCAACAAATCTCATCTTCTAGTCGCACTTTCTTATCACCTTCCCCACACACTTTCAAGTGAGAAAAAAAAACTCGAGATGGAGACGCAAACTAGACATTTTTTTGTATTCAACGAAAAACGAGTGTTCATATCGCTTCAGTCGATTTTCACAGTGGAATAGATTTTCCTCACGAAAATGCTGGTGCCGATATACCCCACTGTTCCACACATGACGCCTAGGGCTCCGCTGAACAGGGCCATATAGCCGAAGTAGAACGCCGTTTGGAACAAACCATACATTCTGAAAGAAAAAAACAATTTTCAATTTTATATGTCAGAATGAATAACGATACAGATTCAAATTGTATGAGAGATTTTGAAGTTCATTCGTTTTTGCTCGAAAATTAATTTTATATTAGTAGTATACGTATGTGCGTACTAGGCCAATTAGCCCTTATCCCTCCCATGTTGAATATACGACGATTTGACGCATGCGTGATGCTTTCGTGACGTTTTGATGACGTCATTGAGGAGATAGAAGCTGATTGGTCTGGTACGAAAGTTTCACCAGCTATGTCTTTCCAGTATCATTTTGTACCCATATCGAATCTGGCAGCCGAATCGTGTCATCACAATTATTCTTGTTGCGTAGACGACTAACACGTAAATGTCATTCGTGGCTAAGTCACTGAATAGCTAGTCATGCAGTAAAGAATTTGCGCCTTCGAAGTGCCCAGTTGATGTTAGGTTAGATGTTCGTTATTTTCATTGCAACTAAATAATCCGAGTCATGAATTCTTAAAGACGGATTCTCATAATTAATATCCAAGGTACAGACGTATATACAGGGTGACATTGAAATAAGTGCAAATATTTCAAACACTGAATTAGAAAAAATCTGATATCATGGGAATATTCCTTAGACTGTATTAATGTGCTGAATATGTGCACTTATTTCAAAAACACCTTGTGTAATTATTTTGCTCAGGATAGTAATTGGCACAGGTGCCGTTCGATAAACTACAACTACATGTCTTCGGGACATATATCATCTCGTTATCAGATGACTGTCGTAATTTGCAGCCGGCTTTGGGACTAAATGGTACATTTTATACATCATAATCAACGAGAATAGTTATTTGTTTTACTGGGCAGAAGAGTAGTAGTTTGACTGCCGCGGCTGATAGTTCATAGCCCAGCGTAGCGAGGATAGGAATTCAGCCAAGGCAGTCAATCTACATTTGCTGCCGTGTGGAACATAGAATTTTTTCTCCAAATGATATAAAACCAATGTTGTGTGATTGTTTTATTCAAAACTCCATCATTTTGTGTTCGCCCAATGTCAGTGTCAATTTTGATTTCTAATTTCATCAGAATTTCTTGAAAAGTTGCATAGCAACAAACTGTTCCTGCCTAGGCAGTGAAAGTATACCTTTTCTGCCTCTAAAGCGGCAGGAAGAAGCCATTATCCCTGCCGCTTGGAATAAAATATAATTTTTTGACCAGTTTCTCATATTGAGTGAACACAATCATACAAAGACACAATACACAAGATGTCAAATGAATATCAAATGTAAAGAAATGTGCAAGAAAACGAACTGAAGACAAATTCAATTGCTTTCAAATGACGTTACACCCGCCATAATTTCAAATGATATTCTTCCGTCTTCAATCTTTTTTCCCTCTTTAATGGTTCGAAGAATGTATCATTTTTCATTGGTTGCATACGCATCGGTATCTATGTGTGTATCTTGCATAATGTCATCGACACTATTGACAGTTTTTTTCTACCTAGGTAAAATTGTTTTATAAATTCATCATTATTTACCTAGGTATGAAAAGTGTTACTTCTCATGAGAGGAAATCCTCGAATAATGGTGATTTCTCAGGTTAGTGGTGAAAAAAAATTGTATCATAATATTCCCACAACGAAACAGGAAATATATTGAAATATTCTTTATTGTTTATTGAGAAACTAGCTTCCAGTCAGAAATAAGATTCTGGTATGAGGAAGTTTATTACAAACAAGAATAATGAAATAACATAAGGTGATAACAACAAAAAATCTTAAAAAACTGGAAATATATTGAAATATTGTTTATTGTTTATTGAGAAACTAGCTTCCAGTCAGATTTAATATTCTGGTATGAGGAAGTTGATTACAAATAAGAATAATAAAATAACATAAGGTGATAACAACAACAAAAAATCTAAAGAATCTAGAAATGCTAAATCGATCAAGTCATAAAAATAGCAACAGGGACTAATCAGTAGAAGGCAAAGTATCAATTTTATCGATTTGGAAATAAAAACCATGGGTTTTTTATTCAATTTTTGGATTTGAAATATGTCTGCAATTTTTTATATTATGTGGTAATTCATTGAATTCAGTTAGAGCAGTGTGAGTAATATTATTTTGGCCAATTATAGAAGTAGCAGAATGAAGATGGAATAAGTTTAATTGTCACGTGTGATGACCATGAATTTCTGAGTTTCTTATTAAAACAAAATTGGATTTCAGATGATTGTTTATGATATTATATGAAACTTAAAGAGAATCTATTTTATACAATTCATCCAATGAAAATTTTTCTGTTATCGCATACATATCATTTGTTGTAATATCAAATGAGAGGGGATACAATACTTTCAGTGATTTCTTATAAAGTGCAGATATTTTACTGAAATAATATTTTGAACAAATTCCTCAAACGTTAATCACATAGGTAATACGACTGAGTACATGAGAATGAAGTACTATGTTTATGTCTTTTTTATCAAGTTTAGGATATCTTCGCAAAGCTCCAATGATTGGAGATATTTTTTGTATCAGAACCTCTATATGCTCGTCCCATTTTAATTTTTCATCAATCCACACACCAAGATACTTTATTTGTGTAGTTATTTTCAATTTTTGGAGATTAAGACTAATATTTGCGAATCAACTCACTTTGTCTTGAAGAAGAAATAGTAGATGGCGTAGACGTAGACGTAGGTGGCCGTGGAGCCGGCGGCCAAAAAGGACGTCCACTGCCAGCGGTAGTCCTCGGCGTTCAGCAGGAAGTACGTGCACACGATGGTCACGCACACGGTCACTATCAGCAGGATGATGAACACCAGCAGCATAAAGCCGTACACGTAGTAGATCTTGTACGCCCAGAAAGACGTGAAAATGAAGTACCTGCAAATGTACAGAAGAAATACTTCAAGGGTTGCAACCACAGAACTCATAACCTTTATATCTGACGACTAGAATGCGTATCCAATATGGCGGACGAACAAATAGCTGCAACACTGTAAGTTTTTTTTATGTTCTGGTTCCCACGAAGAGAAGTATCCTTTAATGTTTGGAAAACATCGTGAGAATCAAGGGAAATAAGGTAGGAATTGGTGTTCTTAAATTTCTGGAGGTTATAAGCCTCGGGGAACACCTCCCTTGGCACAGTGATCCAGAGCCTCGCTGGATGAAGAGTCTTTGGAAAGAGATGTTCTGCAGATCTCCAAAGTAACCATGAAGGGGTGCGAAGCCTCAACTCGACGGGTTAATCTCGCGGGGACTGCCAAGGGAGGAACAATTGTTGATATTTCAGAAGAGCATCGTCCATGAAAATATCTATAAAATAGGGCCAGATCGCCAACTTTTCTACGGTGTTCCAGAGAAGTGAGTGAGTTTGTGAGCGAGGCATCGCCCACGAGACGAATTGCCCTTTTTTTGACAGAATCCAACAGTTTCAGGGTATGTTTGGGTGCTGCACTCCACATATGGGAACAGTATTCCAGGACAGGTTGGATCTGTGCCTTATAGATCATAAGCATCTGACTGGAAGTGAAATAGCTCCTGGCCCGAAACAGGAAACCAAGTTTTTGGGATGCACTTTTAGCAATTGATCTCACGTGATTTTCCCAAGAAAGGTTATTGCTGATAGTAATACCAAGCATCGAAATTCAAAGGTATGGTTACTCCTGACAAGCTTATGTTGGGCACAGTGAGATCGGCTTTTCTAGAGAAAAGGCATGCCTGTGTTTTGTTTGCATTGAAATCTACCAAGTTATTGGAGGTGAGTTTCTTCTAACATATTGATGAATATGCTAGCGAAAGGCAAAACGCCGACGAATATCAATTCTCTTGAAGGTCTTGAAGGTTTGATTTGAATAGGTCCGGCTCGAAGGACCAATATGTTCGATGCTTGATAGATAGTGTACTGTATTTGTATGGATATGAGGTTACTTCGACTTACATTCCGATGGAAATGCTGGCAAAGGGCAACACACCCCCTTACAGGATTATGACGATCGGCTCCATGAGCCACTTGTTTTCGGGAATATGGCGCGACATCGTGTTTAACCTGCATGGCTAAGTTGCGGCTCAGCACGGTGCTCACCAAGGTCAGGGAAGTCATGTAGGGTTGTGGACAGATACTTTCTTGTCATTTATGAATATGTATATCGTGAATATATTATGAAGTCTGATGGTATAATAGTGGAGACTTCAATCAAACAGTTGGAACTCCCAACCCAACCAGTACTGGTACGAATATCCTAACTTCTGACTTTTCACATGTATGTAGAAATATGGTGCAGTGGTGATTTTGCTTGCAATTTCCACAATATTCAATTGTTTCAGTGATAAGATCATACACAGTGGAGTATAATGGATTTATAACAAAACGTAAAACTTCTCCATTGTCACACATACAGGCACATATTTATCGAAATCGCACTGCATTCATTGAATATATCGATGTAATGCCCTCGATTGTCCATGATCCCTTGTGAAGAACTTGGCAGTCTTGAATATTTGATTTGAATAGATCCGGCTCGAAGGACCAATATGTTCGATGCTCGATAGATAGTGTACTGTATATGTATGAATATGAGGTTACTTTGACTTACATTTCGATGAAAATGCTGGCGAAGGGCAACACGCCGCCTAACAGGATGATGACGCCCGGCTCCATGAACCACTTCTTCTCGGGGATGGGCCGTGGCACGGCGTTGATGCGGCACGGGTGGTCCGGCTGGCCGGCCAGATTGCGGCCCAGCACGGTGCCCACCAAGGTCAGCGGGAGGATGACGAACAGGCAGATGCACGTCACCGCCACCTTGAGGGAAGAAAATGACGCCCCATCAAATCAACTTTATGGAGAAACAAATACATTTTCTTTGGAAGAGCACTATCTGATGAATACTCTCAAAATTTCTCACCCTCCTGCTCTCCTCGACAATTCCCGCGCACTTTCTCTCAAGTTCAACATTTGCAAACGAAAATTCGTATCGCGATATACACGCTATTTTTTGTATTAGGCAAGCGCAGCAGCGGACCACCGAACCTCATCTCAGAACCCTAACCCCTGCTCATTGTAACCATGAAATAACAACAGAATTGTGTCAGACTTGTGTCAGAATTGTATGAAGGAAATCAGCAAAGAGAAATTTCTCAAATATGTGCGAAATAGAACTACCCGCGGAGATTATCAAGCAGCTCGGGCTGTGACAGAAGATTTATTGCCCGAAAACGTATTTGTTTGTGTTTTTCTAACCGTAAAAGTGTTAAACCAAAGAAACACCTTTTTTGTTTTTCGTCCGAAAACCTTGGCAACGCCCCGAAAACAACGCGTTGCGCTAGCCTAATACAAAATAGATATAACTCACCATCGTTCCGAAAGGTATGGCCCTGGAGGCGTGATAGTAGATGGCGATGAAGTTGATGAAGAACGCCGTACCGCAAACGCAAGCCGGCAACATGAAAGCGGACACTATCATCTGACGTATCCAAATTTTGCCGCCCATCCGAGCGTAGAGGGAGCCACCGAAGTAACCGTTGATCGGAGACGTGACCGCGTACACAAATATGGCGGTAGAAAGAAGAGAACCTCTCCTATAAAAAATTAGGAGGATATCAGATTTCTATGGTAGCAATCGGCTAGGTAGCCTAGCTACAGAGTAGTTCCATTGTCGTTCTAGATCACAACCTAGTTAGATAGTTAGTAGGCAAGAGCTATAATACCTTCTCGAGTACTTGGTCGCCTACTAGGTTTTCATTTAGATCGACAATGGTAATTCTCCTTATCTGAGCAATAGATTTGATGAATAATTATCGTGGACTCTAAATATAGATCATTTGAGGAGAAAATAGAATCCTATTGCTGATATTTTATATAAAATTTGAAATTTCATTCCTGTTAGATACCTGAAGAGTATTTATTTATGTCTTTTTTATTCAAATTTACAATATCACATATCTATTTGGGGAAGTACAAATATTTCACGTTTGAAGCCACTCATGACCAGGGTTGGCCGATATATATCAAGTGATATATATCATGATATGTATCATGATATATATCTGATATTTATTGATTGATATATATCATGATATATATCATTTACTTTTTTTTAACAAAATAAATACCGGAGCAAAAAGTCCTTGATATTTTGCGTTAAAAATGAATACGTGACAACAATGCGTTTCGTGGTTATAACTTACAACTCGGGGAATCCCCGGTTTTTGTTTACTGCTTGTTAGGTACATGAAGGTACATGGTACATCAGGCGTGTTCGTTTGTCCTTGCTCTACCTGCTGAACTCGATTTTTTTCTATGCCTTACTTTGTTTACATCATGCCATGAACAGAGACAACTATGAAAAAAGAATCAACTTTAGCAAGTTTAGCAATACAAACGAACAAGCCTCACGCATACAATGATTTGGTGGAAATCGGTTGCAATTCCTGACTCCGAATGGCCAAAAAAAGAACTCTTCTTACAACTATGTGAGCAGTTATTCAGTGCAGTAGCGGCAACAGCTGGTTTAGAAAGAATTTTTTCGAGTTTTGGAATAGTTCAATCTAAATTGAGAAATCGTCTAGGCAACGAAAAAGCCAGTAAGCTAGTATTTATTTTCAAATGTTTAAACCCAAATACAGATGAAAAAGCCAAAAGCTTGGACTGGATCTCGTCGAATGATGAATTAGTTGCCTTGAGTGACGATGATAATATTGATAATGATGATTATAATCCTCTTTCTCGATTTTGCAATCCTTAAAAATTCATCAAACGACAAGTTTTTTACCATATATTACATATTTTCGGAAAAATATTATTTTTTGTTTCGTGTTTTGTTATTTCGAATTAAACCGAGAATTAAACTGAAGTTTGATTTTTGTTTTTACCAAAATAAAGGTATTTTATATTGTGTTTTTTTTTTGGCATATCAGCCTAGGAACAAAATCGAAATTTCTGATATATATCGGATATATATCGGATATATATCCGATATTATGATATTTTGATATATATATAAATATCATGATATTTGCCAACCCTGCTCATGACATTACAAAATGAAACAATAAAGTGCATTTTCAATTTACCTTTCCTGTCAATCTATACAAACCTAAAAACTTGCTGAATCTAGTTTCATTATATAGGGTGTTAACAAATAAGTGTCACAACGGAAAACTGTAGTTACAGGGCGTCAAAAGAATACAAATTAATCTGTTTTTTGCCACTATCTTAGGGACCGTTTGAACTACGGAGTTAAGCCTTCGTACACACTTCATCATCAATAATGACTACTTTCAGGGCTCTTGATCAATTTCCTTGGACATATCAGTGGAGGAGAATTCAACGTATCGTAAGGGTTTAGCCCCCCAAACATTTATGCCACTGAAGAAATTGTAATTTTCGAAGCGGATTCTGAAGCGCCAATATCTTTTACACAAAAAACGCCCTCTTGTCTCAATGCTCTAAAGTGAACAGTTTCCGCTAAAAATGGCTCTTTATGAATAAGAACATACAAAATCCTTATGGTATCTCCAAAAATACACTGGAAATAAACACCTCACAACTGTCTAATAATATGTTCAATCAAATGTCAGGTTCTTGAGTATGCTGGTCTCGATGCTGGTTTTCTAATTGTTAAGTTTATTAAGTGTTGTAAAGTGTGTTCAATAAAACTGAACAATTTTTATTCTTTAACGCCCTGTATCTTGAAAACGGGAGCCCGGAGAAAAATTTTGAAGAGGAAAGAAATGTTTATCTTATTTTGAAGAATCTACAGTTGTCCGTTGTGACACTTATTTATTAACACCCTGTATAAACACACAATTTGTTGTTTTATTTATTTTGTCAGGAGGGAATTAAAAATATCAAATTTGAATTTTAATGAAGCTAATACGATTCACGCCCATGAAACAAGGCAATTTAATTTATTGATAGCAAATAATTATAAGTCAAATTTTGGTAAACAATGAATTAAAAAATATAGAAGCAGAAAAATTCAAATTCAATTTAAATAAATATCTGCTCAGTAAACTTTGATTCCATATCTACTAATCATTCACAATTTGATTACTTGAAATGGGTTATAATATTTTGATTTTATATTTTATTATAATTTTTTTTATGAAGAACAATAATTGTGGAATTATTATTGTTTCGATTTATTATGTAATATGTATGTTTTGTTGTATATATCCCTATTATAAACAATAATGTTTCTTGGGGTAATAAAGACAATCAATCAATACCATTCACATTAGGCAACTAGAGAAATGGTGTGGTAGGGAACAACTAATCCATGGATGAAAATTACAATTGCCTCTGAGAGTGATAACATTTCTCAATGAACTGTTAAACTGAAGCTCAATTCAATTTCTCCAACTCAATAATCTTAAGAGAAGTCTGCATATTATGTGATCTAGATTAAAGTCAAAATTTTCAAAATTCTTTTTCCGAATTAGTTACCTACTATTTGTGATTTTCTTTCATACTTTTTATTCATTAGGTACAAAGTAGTACTGCATCACTTTGAAACAGTTTTTTACAACAACATGATCTTAGAATAAGAGGACTTGCCCTGGTTCGGTATAGTGAAAAAGACAGGATAACACTGGCAATATTGTTGCCTTCCTAGGAACTCTTAAGGAGTGGGATTTTGGAAAAGGCAATGCTCCCACTTGCCAATCAAAAGCACTTTTTGCTCAGAAACTCGATTTTTGCCTAGCAATGCTTCTGTGTGTTTAGCATTGCTCTAGATTGCCTAGTAACACACTAGTAATGCTACTGTTTTACTATCAACGCTAGTTTACTTGCAATACTGTTATTTTCCTGACTAGTACCACTGCTGATTGTCTACCAATGCTGCTATTTGCCAACACCTAGAAAGTGAAAGTGTAAAAAGGCAAAGATCCCATTTGCCTTGCAAAACTGCTATTTGTTAAGCAACGCTGTTTTTTCCCTAGGAGTGCTGCTGCAACAGCTGCTACTATTCTTTGACCACAATAGCTGCTGTTTGCAAATACCTAGGAAATGTAATTGTAGGAAGACCATACCCCCCTTGCATAGCTTCTATCAGCCGCATTTGCCTAGTAACGCTGCAGGTTACTGAGCAATAGTTGTTTGCTTAGTGGCGCTGCAAGATACCTGACAATACTGTTTGTCCAGAAAATCTTATGAATGGCCATGCTCTCACTTACCTAGCAAAGCTATTATCAGCATAGAAATGCTGTTGTTTGCCAAGCATCGCGGCTTTAGCTCAGTAAAGCTGCTAGTTACTGAGAAATGTTAGTGTGTCTGGCAGAGCTGCTGGATGCCTAGTGTGTGTCTAGAAAAGCAGCTACTAGGAAGTGAAATTGTAGAACGGCAATACTCCCACTTGCTTAGACCAGCTACTGTTAGCCTATAAATGCTATAGTGTGCCAAGCACCACCGCTTTTGCGTTGACACTGCTGGTGCTACTAATTGTTTGCCTAGTGAGGCTACTAGATGCTTGGCAATACTAATTATTATCTGAAAAAGCAGCTGTTTGCCAACACCTGGGAAGTAGAATTGTACAGTCAATACTCCTACTTGACTGGCTATAATTAAATTAGAAATGCTGTTGTAACATTCAACTCGCATCACTCGCTGCAAAAACTGTTTGAACAAAGGACCCCGCACCATTTACATTGAAATCTTGTGTAGGGTGAAATTTTGTGAAAATCTAGGATTGGATAGATCAAATCATGCTGAACAAGAAATGTCCTTTGGCCCGTTGAAAGAAGTTATAAGCTCTTGAAGCCAATGGTTTTCAGATAATGGTCATTCATGTTATGTCAGTTAAAGTCATTGAGCAAAAGCATATTACTTTGTTCAAATACATATAATATCAGAATAGGTTCCGTTGCTTTATATGCAATAGCGAAGGCAATATTATTGCTATGGCACACATCGATCGAGATCAAAATGTTGAGCAGCAAGCAATCGCAATACATCGTCGACAGGTCCTAGGAAGAAAGGATATACCCTTAACCGATCGTACTCGTTTATTTCTGAACAGTAATTGATCCATTATAGAGGAACGTGCAATTCGGGATAACGTTTATTCTATGAACCTGAATGTTGTCTGTCCCATCTATGCAAAAGTGTGCAATTTTGTGGCGTAAATAATAATTTAATTCACCTATCATTAGTTGCTACAGTCAATGTATATATTGTAAATAATGTTTTCCTACGACCACCTATGAAAACAACACAAAACACATTGATTTGTTATTGAAAAAGTGACTATTTCCACTATGACAACATATAACAGTTAGAAAGTTCGAAATCAAAACTCACATGGGTGGAAATATTCGAAAATCGCACAGTAACAGGGTCTATAGATTATGATGTACCAATGAATGATTATTATGCTGAATTATGGTAAGTTAAGTTATGGTCAAGTTAATGGAAAGTTAGTGGCGATTTAACATGAGTTATTGTCGTTAATGTTGACGTAATTTTAAGTTGATGAAAAGTTGACAATTTAGCGATTAATGTGAAGTTAATGTCAATTTGATATTGAGTTGATGTTAATTTGATTTTAAGGTAATGTCAAGTCAATTTTGAGTTAATG